GGCGCAGCGAGCCGGCAAAGCTGGCCAGAACATCAAACTTTTCCCGAACTCGCAAAAGTGAGCCTGCTCGCAGGCCACTCCCCGCCTACACAACGCTCCTCCCCACAGACGGCTGCTGAGGAATCGAACCACATTCCTTTCCGCATATTATCCAATCACGTTTCAGCTCCCTTTTTCTGGAAGGTGTTCGTGACATGTTGGCGGTAGTGTGACTCCTCCAATCACAACATTGCTTTCATCGGTACCCCATGTGTGGCCCATGTTTAGGAGCGTTGCGTAACGACACAAAGAACGGCTGTAAGGCAGACTACCCCCCGCCGAGCATATGCATATTTTGGGTGTTTGTTAAGTCGTATTTTTCCACGATCCAGATAGGGCATTTGTCATAAAGACCTGCCTTGGCAAACCCATAAGCCAAGGGTTAAAAAACGACCCTCACGGTTTCACTATTTATTCGGTGAACCAATTTCTTACAATATTAGCACTGAAGCACACGTACAAACAAAGCAAACTCTTCCGCCTTGCATATTCCTGTCGCTTCGAGCTGAGAATTAATCAAAATAGCTTTTAGTTAGAGTTTCACTCCATGACGTAGATGTTCTATTAGCAGTGGTAAGAAGTGTTAATGAGAGAGATTTCGAGCTTTCATCATCCTTTTAACTGCGATAATTGGATTACGTCACCTCCCGAACTTTGCCGCAGCACAAGGCTTTTGGACAAACGGATCAGTTTGTATTTTATAAAAAATTAAAGGATCTTATAAAAGAGCTCGCTATAAACACTTTTTAATTTCCTGAGTTCATAACAACGAACTTTTAAAATATCATTTTGAGGACATCTCTTCTACGGTCGTGGTGAAAAAAGCGGAAGCAAAAGCTGTTGGTATAGCTCTTTAAATCGTAAAAATTTTATTAGCCGCATACCTACTCTCTCTTGGTGTTTTATCCACAAGTTGAAACGTAAGAATACCAATAGATAGCAGCACAACAGAAAATTACTACTTAATAGCTAGTTCAAAACCCAAAATTTTGGTGAAATTGAAACGCGTGTTTAATAAGACTCAGAAAGCCCTTACCCTGTTCAAAAGACGCACCTTCTGGTTACATCTTCTCAGTCTATCAAACGTTACACGAAAGTAACAGGATTTCCTGTTTCAGCAATGATAATGATAGGTATTTTAAAAAGGTCCCATTTTTCAATGGCAGGTATGCGATCGGGGTACCTTTTCTTTCAAAAATGGTATATTTATAAAAGGGTAAGGGGTGGACCTTGGGACGAAGCCTGCCCGTGCAAAAAGTCTTATTAATAGCCCCCCCCTCCCCCCCCCCCACCCCCGGGGAAACTAACAAAGAGTTAGTGCATTTACTTGAATGTTGACAACACAGTGTTGTAGTTCTCCTTTGCAGTGGCGGATCCATGGGAGTCCCACCCCCCTATTTTTAGACCAAACTGAGGGCCGGGTCCCCTGCTTATCTCAGGGTCTAGGTGACCGGGTCCCTCCTCCCCCCACCCCCCTTACCCTTTATCAGAAGGTCTGGATGTTACGTGATGTAAAAATGTTTAAGTACAATATTGGCATCAGGGAGAAACACTTGGTCATAGCGATAAACGTATTAAATACTGGCGCTAATTACAAATAGCAGAGCTTTCAAACAAAGACCGTTTTTAAACAAACATGACTGACTGCAATCAGGAGCCGATTACTGCAACTGCAATTAAATAATCGGTTCAAAAAGGAAACAAACGCACTTGTATAGCGTTTATAAGTAAAACTGAGGCCTTGCGGGATTGATAGTTATGACGCTTTAAGAGTAATTGGTAGAAGTTATAATTTTTTGGAAATTTTTATGCACGAAGTTTTCAAATTATCGTTCCCTTTCCAAACTGAAAATTAAATTCGGCACATACCGCACTGACTAAAAGTTTAGTAACCATAGCGTTGGCTTTGTTTCCTTTCTAAAAAAAGAGAAGTTAATCATAAGAAACGCTTTCCTGTGGGAATTCAACGAATGGCCTGTTTAGCCTTTTCAAAAGGACTATTGTTCTACAGCCAATCTATATCTAGTGACTGGTAGACTACTAAAAAAAAGTCTGTTGTCTTTTAAGGACCTTTGAGCACTCCGGCCAATTCAAACCTTTGAGCTTATTGCATTTCCATATTTGTTTAATTACAGATCTTAGTGACACGAGAACATGGAAGGAACGATGGTTGATAATCGAGGCAATTGTTAGCTTGTATGGAAAAACCACAGTGAAACCAGCTGCCTCGCTTGTTCACATTTTATATCGCCAACAACAAAAAATCACTGTCGCGCATCAAAGAAATGGCGAGGATTAAATTAGTCTTATGCGTGTACTGCTGGTTTTGGTTCTCGCAAATTAATACAATTCAAAGCGTCATGGCCAAGGAAAAAAGCGAGAGTTTAAGCTATGTGTTCACCAAAGGCGATATCATCATCGGAGGTCTTTCGCCAGTTCATTTTTCTCCGACCGCGGACGAAGAACAGCAAAACCCGAATTCATTTACTTGCCAAGGAAGGTTAAACACTCGAGGATTTGAGGCTGTTGAAGCGATGCTTTTTACGATGGACATGCTAAATGAAGGGCCACTTAAGAACCTTGTGCTACCAAATATCACCATCGGAATGGATATTAAAGATACATGCGGCAGTGCTGATTACGCTGTTCGCGAGTCGCTCAATTTCTCCTTTATTCGTAACGCACACGCACCAGCGGGCCACTGCTCCGGAGGAACGCACCTCTCGCAGAAAAAAACTCAAACTATTGCTGTGGTCGGTGCAGCCTACAGCGGCATTTCAATGGCGGTTACCAACCTCTGTGGGCTTTTTTACGTCCCTGTCGTCAGTTACGCGTCGACAAGTAGTCTTTTGAGTAACAAGGTTCGTTTCCGCTACTTTTTTAGAACAGTGCCTAATGACATGCTACAGGCAAAAGTGATGGCTGATCTAGTGCGCGCGATGAAGTGGAACTATGTGATTGCCTTGGCATCTGATACCGAGTACGGGCGATCTGGTATAGAAGCGTTCAAACTCGCTCTCGCTAGTTTTGGAAACAGCTACGATGTGTGTATTCCCGTGGACGAACGTTTCACGCAGCGCTCGACTGATCAGCACTTCGAGAGGATCTTTAAGCAGATGAAAGCGAACCCTAAAGCTCGAGTCGTGATTATGTTTGCACAATTGCACGACGCCAATATCCTAATGGGCAAGTTTCGTCGGCATCAAGACATGGCTAATGAAAAATACGTCTGGGTTGGCTCAGATGCCTGGGCAGACTCGATGCAAGTTTTAAAAGGCAACGAGAAAATTCTCGAAGGCAGGCTACTTGGAGTGGTACCTGAAGTTGTTCATATTGAAGAATTCGACACATATTTCAAGAGTTTTAATGACAACAGGCGTAAGAGAAATCCTTGGATGAGAGAGTATGAATACTTAAAAGTAGCCCACAACCCTGTGTTTTTCAGACAGACGTTTAAGCACTACCCTAAGGCGCACTTTGTCATGGACGCGGTGCTGTCAGTCGCTTATGCCTTGCACGACACGCTGGGCTGCGAGCCGCACAAAGATTGCTCGTCTAAAATCACGGAAAATCTCATACAACAAAACTTTAGAAACTATTTGCAAGATGTGAGGTTTGCGGGAAAATCTCGAAAGGAATTTTCTTTCGACAAGCTTGGAGACGCGATCGGAGTGTACGACATTAAGCGTTTGGCGCTTCTTGATGGCGGAAATTATGACTTTGTAAAAGTAGGAAAATGGGGATCGAAAATATGCGACGTGTTCGGCGCAAATACCTCACTATCTTCCTGTTTAGATATGGACTTGGACGTTTTGGAAACAATGCACAAAAACCTGGAAAACCTCACAGAAAAGGGTGTCCCGTTTTCGACCTGCAGTAAAGCATGCCTTCCAGGATATCACAAAAACCCAGAGAAAAATCACGCTAAATGCTGCTGGCAGTGTCGACCGTGCAGCGGGAACACAATCACAAATAAAACAAACATGGATGATTGTATTCCGTGCCGGAGAGGATACTGGACAAATCAAAATCATTCTCGCTGTGAACCGATTGAGCCGACCACACTAAGCTGGAATGACACTTTAGGCGTGATAATTATCAGCTTCTCCGGGGTGGGGATTTTGGCAGTCCTTTTCACTTTTGTGGTGTATTATATTTACCGGGAGACTCCTGTGGTGAAGGCTTCCAGCAAAGAACTCTGTTATATCCTTCTATTTGGAATTGCCTGGTGCTATCTGACGCCTCTCCTGTTCTTGGCTGATCGCAACGACCAGATCTGTCGTGCCATTCCATTTGTGGTCGGCACGTGCCCTTCATTGATTGCAGGAACTCTCTTGACCAAAACCAACCGCATCTCCAGGATTTTTAACCGGAAACTGTTGAAAACCGGAACACCAAGTTGCTTGTCGAAGAAATGGCAGCTGCTAATGGTGATATGCCTGGCTGTGGTAGAATGCTTGATCGGTGGGGGTTGCGTGTTTTTTAGCGAAACCGGAAGTAAGCTCTTGATCTCGGATACTAAGAAAGAGGTGCTAAAGCAGTGTATAGGACTGCCAGATATCTGTACGGCGATTTTCTGGGTCTACAACGCCGGTCTCGCGATAACGTGCACTTACCAAGCGTTTCGTACGCGCAAATTACCTGAGAACTATAACGAAGCGAAATTTATCACCTTCACAATTGTAATAACGGGAATTGTGGTGATAATTTTCATTCCAACTTATATAGGAACAGAAGGGATTTATAGAACTACCATTTTATGTTTTGTGTTCATCATCGCTGGGTCCGTCACTCTCTCTTGCATGTTCGTACCGAAGTTGTACATTATCCTCTGGAGACCCGAAAAAAACGTCCCGATGCGTCCTCGCTCCTCGACAATCCGCCTCGGGACGATTTCGCCTTCAGCGTCCTTTGTAAGACGCTTGAGCGTCGACTCAAACGCGGAGAAAGTCGTTTTCGAAGGAAGAAAAAACCGAATTAATTCCTTGCCCGCGATGGAGCTAGTCAACTCTTCTGTGGAGGGTGAAGCGCGAGAAAAGTTCAAGAAAACAAAGCGATCTTTTTCCCTTAGCCCCGATATGTTGTCCAGGTATCGAGGCGGTCCAGAGAGTAGCCCCGAGCGGGGACGCCCGGTATTACCGGGTCGTCGACGGGGAAGCCTTCCCGGGTTTACCACTCCTGCGTCCATGGAAATGATCGAAGAAGGGAATGAATTTGACCTGCAGGTCGATGGGGGTCTAAGAACAGACGACGATGTATTCACTGACCTATCACTCAACGAAGAATTTGAGGATCGCGATGATTCAGAAAACTGTCTAAACACTACTAAAAAAGATTGCGAACAAAACCTTCACAATAATGATGACCTGGAAAAAGGCTGTTCTAACTGCGAAAGTAGTTTTGTTTCTTTTAACGAGCTTCGTGGTAATGGAATCCCTACCACTTGTGCTATCGATATGGACGACAATTTTGCCGACAGGATTCGAAAAGAACCAGAGCTTAAAACAATAGAGTGCCTGAAATGCGGAACTGCACTCAGCGAGGATGAATGCCAGACAGTACTCTTATGGGAGGCTTTTTGTAAACATTTATCGCAGAATGGACGAAAACAGAAATACAACATTGTACAGTCGACAGATTTGGACTCTTCACAGCAAGATAAGAACAGGAAACGGAAGTCGGGAATTTCTGATATAGTGAAAAGTACTGACGGTTGCCATAGGAATAGGCAGGTGGACATAAACGACAACAGGGCTGTGAAAAGGTTAAGAAATTCCAGTTTTTACAATTGCGAGTGGCTCAGTTTACCTTCGCTCCTGAGCTCTTTTTCTGATGGATTAATTGAACAGAACGATTTGACAAGTAGAACTGAACAGTTGTTGAAAAAACGCAACAAATCACTTCGAGATGCAAAGAACTTCAACCCTTTAAAGGAAAGAAACACCATTACTACAGCTCAAACGAATGGACGAGTTTGTCATACTTTGCAAAATGGCGGAACGGAAAGTGAGATTGATAAACTTCTCGGAGAAGAAGACGCTGAAACTGTACTGTAACCGCCTTATTTTAAAGTAGAACGCGGTTGTCACGCAACAGTTTTTTCAAATTTTAAAAATTTTATTTCTCTCCGAGACTGAAGGGAATAAAAAAAATGAGTTTCAGAGGAAATAAATTAAATGCTTTTGCTCTATTCCCTTAGCCTTGGAACCAAGTATGGATTTCAATATCTTGGTTCGACTTGTTAAACATAGGAACCTGAAGAAAATAATTAGCCCTCGGGATGTGTCAGGGTGGAGAGGAATGTCTTGGAAATTGTTAGCAAATAAACATCCAAAGTACCAGAGCTCTATTTGTGGTGAAACCATTATTATTTAGTGTTGCTGAAAATTCGAACTGTGACACCTTGTTTCTTGAAATATAGTGTGAAAATCTTTGAGTAAAGCTCTAAGAATTTTGAGGTGAACAATTCAGCCAAATATAATAATATTATTGATTTTATGCAACAGCAGTTGCTTCTTTGTACAAAAAGGCAACTTGTATTAAAGTTTGTCTTGAATTTTTGAGTTCTTGAATTAAGAGTAAAACAGTTATAAACCAGTACTACAGACGTTAAAAATGAACGATGAGCAAGACTGTACCACAGGATACTGGTATAAATTGCCCTATCATTAGAATTAAAAGGAAACATTTTCTTCACTGGAACAATTTTTCTAAAATGGGTATTAATATGCATAGTGCCTAAAGTTCACGTTTCAATTTCTTCTTAGTTAGTGCCACGGTTCACACAAATAATAGCAACCTTCTTAGGACTTTTCAAAGACTTTACTTGGACCACATTAGATTTTCAAGGACCACCTACCAAGAAGGTAATTTCAGACTGCACAAAAATCTACATTCCCAGTCCATTTTAACAGGACTTAGAGGCTTGAACTGC